CTATAATGATAAAGATGAAGATAACACAATTCAAACAACAACAATAATGATGATGATAATAATTATAACAATAATAATAATTATTATTATCATATTAATATTAACAAAAATAATGATATCCACACTAACTATAATCTAAAAAATAAATCTTACTAATATCAACAATTACAACACTAATAATAATAAAAAACAACAATAATAATAATAACATAATAAAAAAACATCAATAATAATGACAATAATAATAAAATAACATAATAAAATTCGCATCATTAATAATGATAATAAAACAGAATAACACAATAAAATCCACATCAAAATAATGATAATAAAATGGAGTATCGAAATGCGCCGAGCCATCGCGACCGAATTTCATGGCTGGCCCACCAAACCAAACGAGAAAAACAAACACAATATTTTTTCTTCCTTTTTCCTTTCCTTTTTTTAGCCGTATGTTTATCCGAAATCCCCAGCACCAGCAAAACTCCACACATTCCTTTCCATTCCAAAAACACAACGGAAAGTTTAAATGAAATGAAAAGTAAAGAAAAGAAAAGAGAAGAAAAGAAAGTTTATGTTCCACTATGAACGGGAAAAAATCTCCGCTTGTCCCTTCCCTTTTCACTTCCTTCTTCCCGATCGACCGACTAACCGACCAGTGACCGACCAAAGACCTACCAGTGACCAGTGCCCGACGAGAGACCTATCAGCGACCAGTGACCAGTGATCGACCAGACTTACCAGTGCCCAACAACCGACGAGAGACCGGACTAACCGACCAACGACGCAACCGTGCCCTGACCAATGACCTATCAACTTCCCATTCACCGACCAATGGCAGATTAACAACCAGCCGACCCATCAGTGCCCGACCGACTGACCGACCAACATCCGACCGACTGACCGACCAGTGACCGACACAAACACAAGACGCAGAAATCCTCCTTGCCTCGACTCTTGAAAGCCTTCCTCCCATAAAGACTCGGCGCGAAATCCCTCAGCTTCGAAGCCTTTCCCCCCCCCAACCCCCCCAACCCGGCCGTGAATCACCCTGCGAAGCCCTGGCGGTAGAGGGAGAGGGAGAGGGAGAGGGGGAGGGGGAGGGAGAGACAGGGGGAGAGGAAAAGAGGCTGTGGGGAGGGAGGGAGAGCGAAAGAAAGGGGGAAGGAGAGGCTGTGGGTGGCAAGGGGGGAGGGAGGTGGGGAGGGTGGGAGAAACAGAGAGAGAGAGAGAGAGAGAGAGAGAGAGAGAGAGAGAGAGAGAGAGAGAGAGAGAGAGAGAGAGAGAGAGAGAGAGAGAGAGTGAATATATATATATGAAAACTAAAACTGAAATAAATTTATTATTATTTATTTCTATTGAGGGAACTATATGATAACTGATAAGGAAAAGACGATCGATAGGCCTGTTAATTAACAAAGAATCCAGTTTAATGACTGAATTACAAAAACATCTCTTTTTAGAGTTACAGTATTTTAGCGGGTTTCAGTTTTCCCCCAAAAAGAGGCTTTTGTAACAACATCTACTAGAAATTAAAACATAAACATCATATTTATTTCAGGCACGGAAAGACCATAATAGAACTGTATGATTATGTGTATATGTTTATATATACACAAACATATACATATATATATATATATATATATATATATATATATATATATATATATATATATATATATATATATATATATATATATATATATATATACAGAAAGAGAAAGAGAAAGAGAAAAAGAAAAAGAGAGAAAGAAAAAGAGAGAAAGAAAAAGAGAGAAGAGAAGAGAAGAGAAGAGAAGAAAGGAAAAGAGAGGAGAGAGGGAGATGAGGTAGTGGTGGAGGAAAGGAAAGATTGAAAGAAGGATAACGGAGAGATAGTGAAGGATATAGCAGGCAGGAAGCGGGAGGGAAGAAAGGGGACAAGACATAGTGGAAAGAAGGGGGAGAACAGAGGAAGGGAGAAGGAGGAATAAGGGGTAGGGAATAAGAGGAATAGAGAGGAGGAGGAAAGTATGGAAGGGAGGGGAGGGAGGGAGGGAGGGAGGGAGAGAGGCAGGGAGAGAGGGAGCAGAAGAGGTTGGGATCAGGGAACAGAAAGAAGGCAGGAGGGAGGGGAAAGTAGAGGGTACGTGGTAGGGTGCAGGGTGCAGAGGGCAAGGGGCAGAAGGCAGGAGGTAGGAGGCAGGGGGCAGGGTGCATGGGGGTTAGGGTGCAGAGGGCAGAGGGGAGGGTACAAGAGGCAGGGGGCAGAGGAGAGGGTACAAGAGGCCGGGGGCAGTGGCGGAGGGTGCAGGAGGCAGGGTGCAGGAAGCAGGGGGCAGGGTGCATGGGGCAGGGTACAGGAGGCAGGGGGCAGGGTGTAGGAGGTAGGAGGCAAGGGGCAGGAAGCAGGGAGCAGGGTGCAGGGGGCAGAGGGCAGGGTGCAGGGGGCAGGGTGCAGGGGGCAGGTGGGTTCGTTGGAGCTTATTGATCGGCCAGCTGTAAAAGCAACACCCAT